TAAATCATTATTTTTTTGTCCATAAGAATTAGGTATAATAATCCATTCGTTACTAATCACCAATGCGAAGATAGAATGGGTATAAATAATTTCTTATGAAATGATAATAGTTTAAAAGTATGTTGAAACAAAAGTATTGAAAATTATTAAAAAGATTTACCTATCGTTAGAGAATTAACATTTTCACGGTCTTGAGGACAATTGTCATTTTTCTTCAAACGTTTTTGGTATATCAAGACATCGTAGGCCGTTCCTATTATTATTAAAAGGAATGTGAGTACGACTATTAGCCTAAAAAAAGACAACAACAAGAAAACATAATTATCTTTATATTTAACGAAGGACTAATATAAATTATAAAAGAATTGTTAGTTTACATCATTGTTATAAATGTTCCACCTAATAACCATCGATGGTCATCGATTAGATCTCTTACTTCAACTAACGTAAAATCAGCTGAATATAGTTCGCCTTTAAAAATAATTCTCTTTCTGAATACATTTTCTAAAAGAATAGCAAGTTGATCCTTGGAACAGGATGATGGTAAGCACATACCAAGTATTATCATATCCTACGAAAAAAAAATCAAAATATTTAATAAAATTGTATTAAAATAACTAATTTAATTTTGAATAGAAACTTACTTCCTTGGGTATTCCAACGTGGTTTTGTAAAGTGCTATTATGTCGAAAATTAGCAACGAAGAATCTCACTTCAAAAGGTGGCAATTCATCCTTGATATTACGATATCTCGAATTGTTTTGTATTAACTTTTCTGATAATACGAGGAGATCCCCGTTTTTTGCGTCTTCGCATTGGCTTCTGCTACCCAACCAATAATTATTTCCATAGATGAATCCTGATTTAGGTTCACCGCTTGCATCGATTACTTGACAAAAAAACAGTAATTAATATTACATCATTTTGAACATCAAATCTAATTTTTTGGGAAGAAAATACCATGGATAGGTGGAAAATGAACACTTTTTAAGGGACACATTTAATTTAACCGCCTAAAGAAAAGGTAATTTTTGGGAATTTAAAAAAAAAAAATTGCTGCATGAAATATTTTAAAATTAAGAGGATATATTTATACATAATTATCGAATATTCACTAAAATTTTCAAATGAAAAGAGGTAATTTTCTGCGAGTTATTCGCTATCTCTACAGTCACTAAAAAAAAAAGGGCCTATACGGCTGCAGTGATTCCGGCCTTCACCGTAGATGAAGAAATAAGAAATACTGTCAATCTAGAAAGTATTGCCTATACAATGATCTAAAATTGTGAAAAAAATTAGAATTTAACAAAATGGCTGACTTTTAAAAATAAATCGAATTTTACTTATAATTTTGATGATTTTTGGCCCGTCAAAATTACATTTTTTATACAATCGAAAAACTTTTAGGTCATTGTACAGTGAAACATATACGAAATTAGCAGAAAATAAAAACCAAAGCGATCGGATGATTCTTCTTTGAGTTACAACAACAGCCAATTTGAAAAATGTAGTTTTGAGAAAAGCTCGTTTAAAGATAAAATGATTGCTTTTCAATCCCTGAACGACTACCTTTGGAAGGCTGTAACTCTAAAACTATTTTAAATATTTCTTTGATATTTCCGTATGTTATTTTTAAAGCTATAGACTATTATAATATGGAAAAAAATTAATTTTTTTTAAATTTCATCCAAGGTGTGCTTCATAAAGATTTTTCATCCAAAAATATTATCGTTGTATATAATTACAAATTTGGACACTTTTATTATGATTTTTCCGAAGAAATCGAATTTATAATCCTCTTATATAAATATACACACTTTATATAACACTTTGTATAACTCCGTTCCGAGGAAGTATAAATATTAAAARAAATTAACCACCCATCACAAAATAATTCACATATAAACAGCTTACAATGTCACCCAATTTCCGCAATACTAACCGAGAGCAACCACTGTCAAAAATGATTACACTGCACTAAACATTATCACGATTTCTACGCGTTTTATCAATTGTCCGATCTTTAAATATAAATTGTACMAAATTGTAATAATTCTAAGACGTTCTTTTTTTTTGTAAAAAATCACATAACAAAAAATAGAAAATTTTTATTCCTAATAATATTGTTCCTTMCTTGAAGTAAATATCCGATCTAACTTATTCATAATTCATGGCCCTTTAAAGTATTTATTCGAATGATCTTGTTTATTGTATAATAAACAATTATTTTAAAGCATAGTATTTTATTTTGTCTTGTTTTTAAATCTATATTGATAGATATTGTCTCGTAGCTTTTACGTACCTTTTAAGCTCCATAATAACTGATGATCAATGGCTGCTCGAAATTCAATCAGTTCCTTTCTACATTGAGTTGAATTTAAAATTTCTGCGTTTGCTAGCATTGCATAAACTGGCATCGTACGGATTTTCAATTCTTTCGTTTCATTTGCCGTACAATAATGAAGRAAGAAAATAAATGCTGCGAAATACTTTAGCAATTGGACTACTGGAAGTGCCATTTTCAAGATGTTATGTTGTTCTGATGTACTTTCGTTGTATTTTTTTTTGCTCCTATGTAATACTCGTCGAAAGAAATCTGTTTATTCGCTTATTTATGTTTTTTTGGAAATTATCACTTTTGTTGTTACACTGGATGAACAGAAATATTGCGAAATAGTAAAATGAAATGTAAAACGAATATAGACGATCGATATTACTTGAAACTATACTTGAATAATAATGCAAGACGAACGTGAAAAAACACAGTGCACTAGTTTAAAAGCGACTAACCTAAGCGAATAACAATCATTGTTTGATTGCATTTCTAAGGATGTCTTTTTATAATCTATCCCTCCTACAATAACTGCCTCTGCCATTTTAATAAATAATATTAACATAACGATTGACAGCGTCATTAGTGACGTCAAAAAATCTTTTATCTTAACTGACCCAATCAACCTGTTCGTAACATTGTCGTGTTTCATTCAGATTAGTTTTTTATATCAAGGACTTATTGTTTTTTCAACTGACTAATATTTCTTGCAGTAGACATTCTTTAAGCAGAAACGTTAAAAGAATGTATTTTCTTCTAAACAATCATAAATGTTAGCAGCGTATATTAAATTATTTAATATAAATTTTAAATAATTTTCTTTTTTAATTGAAAAAAAATTATATCGTTATCTGGAAACTCGGTTCTTAAGTTCGACCAAAAGACTTCATCAAAAATAAATATTAAATTTTCACTTTGTTATCTAA